TGGTTCTTTCTTCCTCTGTTGCACCTACCCACTCGGGTTCTGGATCACGTCCGTCACCATTCATTTTACTCCTATCGACGAACTTGCGTTCTCCAGTGACTCAGGGCACGAGGACTACTACTCAGTCAAAGAGATGTCTACCGGATCAAGGATCACGGATCAAGTTCTAGAACTGCGTGGTACACCGGTGTACGTTCTCCAGTCCGACCTGGCCGGTGCTCGAAGACGACCCGTGCATCGGCAGACCTATGCCGTCATATGACTTCCTCTTCCCTGCTCGCTTCAATCACTGGGCAGGGAAAGAATTCACGGGTCCCTTGTTGCAGATGTCCTGGCGTAGATGGGTCCTGAGACAGGACTCCTGCCGCTCCCCCCGCGGCGCGAAGAATCGACTGTCATATTATTACAGGTAGCTTGAGCCAGATAGCTACGCATCATGGCGGGTTGAAACTGAATGTGAAGGTCTACGATCATCACGGCTTCGCCGCCGCATGTCACGTTATTGATGCACATCGCGGAGTACTCCGCTCCCGGCACTCGAGATGAGACGATTCTAGCATGGAAGCTATGGATTTCGCGACGCCTTCCTCACGTGTCGAGTCTTATGCTTTCCTACCCTACCGATTGGCTTAACAGAAATCCTTAGGGCGCGCGCTTTTTACAAAAGTTGCTCCTATTTGGGCTGTATTGGAATCGTCAGCAGTAGCATGCAGCTTCCTCATTCAACCTTGGTAAGGGTGGTTCTTTTCGCTGCTGTAACAGGCGTTAATAGGCTTCGAAGGAGAGGGGGTGGGGAGGGTCATCCTGAACTTGGACGTCATGTTCCATAGGTTGAGTAGGAGCACTTGAGCGGATGAGGGTGCAAATAGGCGTAGCTGTTTGCGACGTTCAGCGACGATAATCGTATGGGATTGGTCATCCTAAGCTATTTGATCGAGTATAGTTTCTATTCACCTCCCTAAATGCCAGCAACTACTATCGCTTACACTCGTCACGATGATGATGACTGGACTGACATCACCGAGCCCATCACTGAAGCGTGTTCCTCTATGGGTTTGGGCCAACTCGTTCATGGCGAGGACTACAGCCCTTTTGAGGCGATGAGCGCTATTGAGCTTATGCAGCCCAAGATGGACGTTGGCTTGCAGACTCCTGCCAACCTCGAGAAGGTCATCGATACGATCGGCGACCTCAGTGACGCAGATGCAAAGTATGTGGCTGACGGCATGCTTGCTATGATGTATTTGTATTTTAATGGTAACACGACGTTGCAGACGGTCTGGTCCTGTTTGTTGTGTCATCACTTGGACGCGGTTCGCCACGCTGGTCTGAA